AGACAAAACTACCACCCAGATAGCATACAGTTCTGGGCCACATCTGGGCCAACTAAGGCACATATGGCTCACTTCTGGCAATGGCAGGAGACATATGGGCCAGATGTGGCCCGTATGTGTCACACCGGGTGTAGTGTGAGTTGTGGCCTGCTGTATGTGGGCCAGATGTGGCCCGTGTGTGACACCCCGGGTGTAGTGTGAGTTGTGGCCTGCCGTATGTGGGCCAGATATGGCCCGTGTGTGACACACCGGGTGTAGTGTGAGTTGTGGCCTGCTGTATGTGGGCCAGATGTGGCCCGTGTGTGACACATCGGGTGTAGTGCGTGTTGTGTATTTTTAGTTCCGGTTTAACTTTAAATTAACGGGAGCCTTTGAAGTGGTTACAAATTATTAGAAATTAAAAATCAAAGTTAATTTGTCTTTCTAAGTCTGTACACTTTCATTTTATGAAGTAGAAAATAGAAAATAAATATTGTAAATTAATGTACTGTGATGCAAGGATTTACATTTTTCCGATTGGCTACTTCTGCCTGTGGACTGCATACCTAATGAGTGGGAGGGGCTTGCTGCTCAAACAAAACACAGACTCTGATGTGAAGCATCAGCAGTTCTGTGTTTCCTGTGTTTTATTAACATTATTGTCCCTCATCAGGCAGTGAGAGCGCTACACCTTCTCTGAAAATAATAACATTGCATGTTCTAAATAAGACTTTCTGAGATTGAAAATGATTCTTTAGGTTATTAAGAATAGGAATAAGCTATTGCTTATCAGGGAAAGTATATGTTTGTAACCTTATCACATATTAATTCAGTTTATTTCCTCAATAATGGATTTATTTTTACTTTAAGGCTGCTATGAATATAAATTTATATTATCTGTTATATGTAAATGTTCCAGCATGAGTAAAATTCTTTTTTTTTTTCATATTACCTGGTATGTCTATAAATGTCTATAAATGCAACGAGTTTCATCATTTATTATGCTTTGATCTATTAATGTTTTGTTCAGTTTCTCCATTTGAATGAATTAAGACAGTGTCCTACCGCCACCTACTGGGTGGATTTAATTTGCTATTAGTACTACTTTTTAATGAACAATTTTACAAATGAATTCATAATCTAATAATACTAAATTAAAGTGCTGTTTTCTTGGTGTTACTTTTTGCAATTCTACATTTTTATAATGATTTTGTTTGATTAAATGCCACATACAACATTGTTCTTTTTTTATTTAATTTGAATATTAAATAAACATAAATGTTTTGTTTATGAATAAAATAACTATATAGAAAAAAATGTCAGAGAACTGAGCAGTAGAATGTGAATAACATGAATGTGTTCGTAAATAAGCTGATCTTTGTAAACAAAACAAGTTTTATTTACTTATTCTACAGAACACAAAAAATAATAAAAATAAATCTGACCAATTTTAATGCGCACACCTAACCCCGCTCCTAACCCGACCCCTCACTTTGATGTCACTAGCTCTATTTGAGTGCATTGTTTCTGACATTGCATGTCAAACTGTGTGTCTCAGCTTGCATATGCAAGTCTGCAATCAGATACTAATGCTTCTGCAACACAGCCCTGAGGGTACAATCCTCAGTGCAGGGAAACACCACACATTATTTTAATCACAAACTACAGCAAATTTAGTTTATCCAAAATTCACTTATACTGCAAATTTTTGCACTATGGAAGAAACTGGAAACCAACAGAAACAACATGCACACTCAACATAGAAAGGCCCAAAAGTCTATCCTGGTTCTGTGTGTGTGCACCTGTAACAGCGTCAACAAATTTTATAGACAATATGCTATCAATAAGCATGTTAATTAGCAATTAGTTGATTGTAAATATATCTTAAAGTGTTATAGTTTTTATATAACAAGCTACTGAATATTAAAAATAACAGTAAATATTTTAGAATTACAGCATGTTACATAACAGAGCAAGGACATGTTCACAGTATGTCTGATAATATTTTTTCTTCTGGAGAAAGTCTTCGACTAGAATAAAAGCAGTTTTTAATTTTTTTTAAAGTGTTTTAAGGTCAAAATTATTAACCCCTTTAAGCTATATATTTTTTCGACAGTTTCAAAACAAATCATTGTTATAAAATAACTTGCCTAATTACCCTTACCCTAATATATATATATATATATATATATATATATATATATATATATATATATATATATATTTATTTATTTATTTATTTAAAAACATTATCATAAACTGCCCCCTGGTGGCAAATATGTGTTTCGCTTCATCCTTGCATTACGGTGGAGTGGGCGGAGCCTCGTGAATGACGGTTAATTTTTTCAAACGAGGAAGTGAAGTCAAGTCCGCCATTTCATCTTCTTCTTTTTATCGGGTAAGTTATTATTTTAAAATCATATTTGTGAGATATTTGTCGTCAGGTAATGTTTTTATTAGTTAAAAAAGCCCCTGTTTTGAATAGTGATAAAACTGTAACTTATATGTGGATAATATGGCTAAAAACTGATGGCTAAGAATGATGGCAGCCGTCAGTTCAGTAACGTTAATCTGTTAAGTTGATTGTGCTCGGGGTTTTAACAAATTCATTTAAGTTACAATTGTCCTTTTACGCTCGTCATTCCCAATTAAATGATCAATAAGACGTGTTATATGAAGAACAGCGTCGAAACGGGAGCTTGAATGAATGAATCAAATGCTGTCCGTTTTATACAGTTGTTATTGGTGCCGAGTTCTGCTTTTGTACTGGTTTTAGCTCAAACACTGAACGAACAGTCTCTTTTTGGTAACGTTAATCCTAATGATCTTGATTTGCTTGTTAATGTGTGTTTTATCAAGTTTCAGCAAACGTTTACAGAGTAACGTTATGTGGTTCATGCTGGCCACTGTTGAGACTGGTCTGCATTAAAAAAAATTTAAAGCAAAAACGTTTGAAAAAAAAAATCCACAGTTGAAACATAATGTGTTAAATGACTTATGAAGGAAATTAATTAGCTAAAAAAGAAGGCTAAGTGTGTTATGAAATATTAAACCTTGTTAAAAAATAAAATCAATTGTGTTAAATAAGCTTAAAATCCATATCTTATGTTTTATATTACTTTAAAACGGCCTGCAAACTGAATTGCACCATTAATCTTGTACATATGTATCAAGTCCAAACAAATGGTTTTGTGGCAAGTAAAAATAATATTTTTATAAATTGATTGTATTGTATTAATTTGTTACAGAAAAGAAAGGAATCATGCAAGGATGCAAGCTGAAGTAAAGGACAACTCTCACATCAGTGCATTACTAATAGTTTGACTTCATCATCAAGCACACCAGGTACAATATTGTACATATTTTGTAACTTGTATATGTCAGACTGGTTGTTGGGAACTAAAATAATATATTTTATGTTTTATTTATTATTAAAATATTACAAGATTTATTGCTGCTATTTTATCACTGTGTGAGGTCATAGCTTATTTAAAATATATATTATTAAAAAAATCTAATTTGAAAGAAAGTCTAAATGTTTCCACAAGGTAATTTATTAAACTGTTTTCTGAAAATGTAAAATTTGAAAGTATTGGTGAGCTGGAAAAACAGTCTGTTGACGTAACTTTTATTTTTATCTTATCTTTTTATTTTATGTTAAAAGTAGATTAATTTACCTTGGATCGCATGTTTCAGTTATAATTTCAGAGTGAAAAATATAAAAGAAAACCATTGAAAACAATGGCATAATGATTTTGCTTGTTCACAAGAGGTACTTGATTTATTTTTCCTGTAGTGATACATAAGTTTTTAAGACTAATGCTTGACACTTAAATTTTAAAGGGATAGTTCACCCAAAAATAATGACATCTTTTATCCTCCACTTGTTTCAAAATATTTTTTTTGTTCTGTTGAACATAAACTCAGGTGGTGCGGTGCACAGTGGATAGCTCTGTTGCCTCCCAGCAAAAATGTTTCTGGTTCGAGCCTCGGCTGGGTCAGTTGGCATTTCTGTGTGAAGTTTGTATGTTCTCCCCGTGTTGGCGTGGGTTTCCTCCAGGTGCTCCTGTTTCCCCCACAAGACATGCGGTACAGGTGAATTGGGTAAGCTAAATTGTCCTTAGTGAATGTGTGTAAATGAGAGTGTATGGGTTTTTCCCAGTGATGTGTTGCAGCTGGAAGAGTATCTGCTGCGTAAAAAATGCTGGATAAGTTGACTGTTCATTCCACTTTGGTGACCCCAGATTAATAAAGGGATGAAGCTGAAAAAAATGAATGAACACAAACCCAGTTTTTCCTACTATGTTAATCAATAGTTACAGGTTTCTAACATTCTTCAAAATATCTGCTTTAGTGTTTAACAGATTCAAACTGCTTTGAAACAAGTAGAGGATGAATAAATGGTGGCAGAATAGTAAACTATATCTTTAAATGTTTTATTCTGTATGTTATGTGTATTCATATTTGTCTTGTCTTTTGTCATATTGTCCTTTTAGCTCAGATTGTGATGGACCTGGAATGCGACACCAGTTACTCTTAAAGCCTGATTTATACTTCTGCGTCAGGGGACCGGCATAACCCACGGCGCATGCAACGCGCGTGGCTGTGCATTTATACTTCTGCGCGCTGTCTCTGTCGGTCTGCATTAACACTTCCGAAACGCTAGTTGGCAGTGAGGTTTAAATGTTCCTCTGTGTCGAGTTTCTTCGCTGCTTTTTTGCTTTTCCTGAACACTTCCGGGATGTACAAGTGGCTCAAACTCGCTCATTTTGAGGCAGGAACCGGTGGACGTACAACAACTTTAACTATGAGGTAAACACAAAACAAAACTTTCTATCCGGAGCTCCTTCACGGTACTCCACACTTGTAAACAATCGCTCGCTCACATTCGCGCTGCTCTCGGTCCCGCCCAGACTCGTCAGCGCTACCAAGCCGACCAATCACAGAGCTTACGCTAGGCGTCGTTGCGACTTGTAGTTACATTTTTTGAGAAGTGCACGTCAGTGACGGCTACGGCGAAGGGCTATGCGTCAGCGCCATAGCATACGCCGGCGTTTGACGCAGAAGTATAAATCAGCCTTAAGTCAAGAACCAAATGAAGCACCAGAGTACAGATTATGGAGGTATCTGAAGTTGAACTAACTGGAAGCAGGGAACCATACTAATAAAGTTCCTTAAGGTAAAAGCACCTGCTTTATTTTGATAGGAAGTATTTTTTTATAGAGTTCTATTGTTTTATTCTTATTCTAATTTTATTTTATTCATATACTGAATTGAAGTCATTCAAATTTCACAACAAATGATTTGCAGATTGAATATAACATATAATGACATTTTAATGCATTATTTCTTTTGGTTATTCTTTACATCTATATATGGGCAAGTATTTAATCAATGAAAATAATTTTAAACAACTTAACTAAACAAATTACTCTGTTGGACCCTAATATTTAAAATAGCAAAATCCTCAAACTAACACACACTCTTGTGAATGCATTCTCACATTCATACACTCAAAAACACACATTCATACAACAGTCTGTCTCAGTCTGACTCACACACAACATCCTCTCCCACATATTTTTCTAGCAAACCTCCACCACAAGCTTGTCCTTTTATGTTGCTTTTATTTCAAATATTTTAGAGCATGATATAGTCCAGGTTTTTATCACTAAGTATTTTTTTTTCCATTCAGCAGGTTCCTTGTAAAGATTAACCCAGGGAAGGATCGAAAGTGGAGAAGACCAGATCAAGAAAGACTACATCAAGATCTGCGGTCAGTTCAAAGGTACTTTCACTAATTACCAAGATTTCAGACTATGAGTTGATGGAGAAAACTTTGAGTGTCAGATCTTCCTACATCGCCTAGCAAAAATTCTTCCCAGTGTCTTGTAGTAGAAGTGATGTAGTCAATCGAGTTTACATTATTTCGTAAATTGCTTTCTGATTTAATAAAAAATATATTAACCAAACTTGATTAATGTAAAAATTTTGATGAAAAGGGCATGTTTTACTAGAGCTTTTAGCACAAAGGCACCCCCATCTTGGAATATTGCTCTGTCTGACGTCACGGGGTTGGTATGCTAGAAACGTTTTTGAATGAGATATTTGTATGATTTATACATAGTCTGTCTTAAAGCGTCACTAAATTGTACAGGCATTACAGGTCAAAGCAATCTGTTGTTACATTTATCAAAATAAACAATAAGGCTCTTAAAACACTGCTTTGAAAAATGTAGAAAATGTAAAACAAATATTTCAAATATTTTATAATATTAATAATATTATGAGGAAGTATAAAACCTTCCTAAGCTTGAAAATATACCAAACTTCCTTAAAGGAAATAAACTTCCTTTGTTAGTGCAAATTCCTTTTTATGTAGTCTTGTAATTAAACAATTAAACCATTCAAACAAGTTTTGAATTTTCCAAATGTAACTAGCTAAAATAGTACCATGTACTTTTACTCTGTATTAGTATTATTTACTAAAATTTGTTTTATTTTAGCAATATAATAGTATTTCTAGTCCTTTAATTTAATGTAATTTAATTTTCAGTTCTCTTTCCATCTACAAAAACATTTAAAAAATAATTTCACAAGCACATTTAAAATAGGTTTAATACTATGAAATATTATATTAATATTATTTTTTATTTTTTATAAATTGATAGGTAGTTCCTATGGAATGTTTTTATGTATCGCTGAGAATACATTTCAGGTGTTCAATACGTTGCTTGTCAGTCTTAAAAATAAAAATAGGTGCTGAAAAAAGTGCTTAAAAGTCCTTAATTTTAATCGAGTTGTGCCTGTATGTACTCTGCAAACAGCACCTTTTAATTGTTGTCTTCTCTGATTTTCAGGATGTTTTGCATTGGACTGTTTTTTTTGGCTTTGACCCTTGCTTGCCCCTGACCTCACTCTTGGACTGCCCTGTTGGATTTTCAGTTTATTTAATTAAAAAAAAATTTTTTGGTTCTGGGTAGATGCTAATAAATATTTAATTGTAATTATTTAATGTAAATCAAAGGCGGCAACACCAAGGCTCCAAAAATACAAATTTATTAAATTAAAAAGGCTGACACAGAGCGTAAAATGTTTCGAGCCGCCGGCTCTTCATCAGACAAATAATTTTTCGTTGTAATTTTTTAAATAATATGTTTTTGTTAAATATGCGATTTCTGTGTTTGTTCTGTCTACTCGAACTTGTTTATCTGGTTTCTGTAATTATCATTTGTTTATTTGACCCTTGCCTCGCCTCTGATCTTGTTTTTGGATTGCCCTTCATATATCTTTTTAATTATTGGTTCTAGTTATATGGTTATAAAATATTTGTTAATTTAATTAATATGCATTATATTAAAAAATACATATAAATATATTTTCTGTGTTTTTTTCTGTATCTATTTATCTAATTTGTATATACATTTGTGTTTGTATGTTCTTCTTATTCTGTATATCCACTTACCTAATTTTACCTTTTATATATATATATTTATTTGCATTTAATTTGTGATTATTCTGTATGCATTTATTTATCTAATTCATATATTTATATGTATTGCATTGATCAATCTGTTGTTGTTTTTTTTGTATGCATCTATTTATATAATTTATATAAATTATATATTTGTATTTATCAATTTATATGCTTCCTTTGAAGCAATTTTTTAAATAAAGCAATTTAAACTAAGCATTCCTTTTAATGTGATTTAAATAGCTACCAAATGTAGATGTCAGCCACATCTAACCCAAAAGTCAGCCGCAACTGAACAAGATCTGGGCCAGATCTGTGAAATTGCATGGGCCGCATCTGGGCCAGATCTGAGAAACTGCATGGGCCGCAGCTGGGCCAGATTTCAGAATTTGCATGGGCCGCAGCTGGGCCAGATCTAAGAAAATGTATGGGCCACATCTGGCCCAGATATGGACCAAGCTTTTTCTGAGATATGGCCCAGATCTGGTTCAGTTGTGGCTGACTTTTGGATCCTTATGACAGCCACAATCAGGTTGAGACATCGCCGTCATTCCGCGCTGTATGTGGGCCAGAAGAAAGTGGGGGATGTGGGCCATATCTGGGCCAGATGTAATTTGCTATCAGTGACCAGCATGGGATTGCTGGTCACTATCAGCGCCAGCATCCCAGCTGCATCTCATGCTGGTGACCAGCATCCCAGCACCAGGATTCCATGCTGGTCACCAGCATAGCACCTAAATCCCAGCAAGACCAGCATATGTTGTGTTTTGGTGCTGGTGACCAGCATGGGATGCTGGTGACCATCATGGCCAGCATCCCAGCACCAGCATTTCATGCTGGTCACCAGCATAGCACCCAAATCCCAGCAAGACCAGCATATGTTGTGTTTTGGTGCTGGTGACCAGCATGGCCAGCATCCCAGCACCAGCATTTCACGCTGGTCACCAGCATAGCACCCAAATCCCAGCAAGACCAGCATATGTTGTGTTTTGGTGCTGGTGACCAGCATGGGATGCTGGTGACCAGCATGGCCAGCATCCCAGCACCAGCATTTCATGCTGGTCACCAGCATAGCACCCAAATCCCAGCAAGACCAGCATATGTTGTGTTTTGGTGCTGGTGACCAGCATGGGATTGCTGGTCACTAGCATACCAGCGCCAGCATCCCAGCAGCATCTCATACTGGTGACCAGCATCCCAGCACCAGCATTTCATGCTGGTCACCAGCATAGCACCCAAATCCCAGCAAGACCAGCATATGTTGTGTTTTGGTGCTGGTGACCAGCATGGGATGCTGGTGCTTGTATGCTGGCCACCAGCATAGCAGCAGCATCCTATGCTGGTCACCAGCATCACAGCACCAGCATCCCATGCTGGTCACCAGCATAATACCAGCATCACAGCACCAGCATCCCATGGTCACCACAGCATAACACCAGCATCCCATGCTGGTCACCAGCATAGCACCAGCATCCCATGCTGGTCATCACAGCATAACACCAGCATCACAGCACCAGCATCCCATGCTGGTTATCAGCATACCAGCACCAGCATCCCATGCTGGTCACCAGCATACCAGCACCAAAACACAACATATGCTGGTCTTGCTGGTGACAAGCAATGCTGGTCTATGCTGGTTTTTTCAGCAGGGAAATTCAATAATTCATATTCAATTTTCAGATTTTACTTACAAAATATTCAATACCCTTTAAAAATACGATGTATAATATTCAAAAGGTCATTTTCAGTTCATTTTATTTCAGTTCAAATATTCGCTTCCATAAATTCGGTGGATCAAATTCGACTGTTAAAATTCAACATTACATCCGGGAACTGCAGGAAAAGCAATAGATTGCAGAGTGAAGATCGCCAGCTGCTCTAGCTTTCACCAGCAGGTGGAGATGGAATAATGTAAGATTTTTAACCCAGTAAACAGACAAGAAAAAGGCTATTAAAGGCACAAAAGTAGCATTTAATATTAATATCAATTCCTTGGACATTATAAATGATAAAAAGTATGAGTAAATGAGGTTTTAGTCATCTATATTTGCCCTTATGTAACGGAAGCCAGCTGGTGATCGCGTAAAGCTCACTTTTCGGATCCAGGGACAGACGTTGTTCTGCAATCTTATCGGAGCTTGTCTCCCATGCCGGCTCGCTCCCTGCTCGGAGCGGTGCGGTGCACATAAACCGTCTTTTGATGAATATGATGTTACACATTGTCTATCTTTATTGACTCTTTCTTCCATAGACGCAAAGTTTTATATTGACAGCTAAAGAATATAAACGTAAGAGAAACAGGAGAGGAAATATTATAATAATAATACAACATAGATAAACATTGACAGGGCTAAGAACAATTACGAACAAAGATATTCAAAACCAGAGAGATTTTATGAAAATGTCATACAAAACAGTTTACTTGGAACTGTTAAACAGAGAGTTCAGGTATGATTTAAGGTTGGTTATGGATGGGGCGTGTAATTTAAAATAATTTAACATAACGTGCGAATGCACATACATTTTGATTGACAGCTTTATAAAGCGCGAACCCGTTTACAGCCCGACATTATACAAATGTGCTCATGCACACAGCTCTATTGCATTTTTTCAAGAATGAGTCATTTATATGTTTTACCATAATTTATTCATAACAAACGTAGACTATATGCCACTTGAAAGTTGGAACAAGGAAATAAAATAAGTCCTCTGTAACATCGTAACATCTCAGCACTCTAGGCTGGGTACATACACTTAGCTTTTAAATTGGCCAACACACCAATGAAAAGAAATCTTGCTTAACAAATCAAATTAAAATAAACTCTAAATTATGACGGGTATTTTGGCAATAACGAAATTAAGATAAAGGCTGTGCAAGATGTTTCTCCACTTCTCTTAACAATCTGGCATAAGGGCGGCGGTGAAGCTGAATATTAAAATAACAATGCCACCATTAGCCTGTATACTCTGTCTACATTATGATTATATGGTTTAATTAATATTTATTTATAATTGAAAAACCCTTTACTCACCAAGATTAGGCTACGTGTGTTTGTGGAGGAACATTTAAATCCAGAGGTTTTAGCGCAGTCTTGCGCTCACGGGGTCCAGCAGCTGAACACCCTTTCCTGCTGCTACAGGTCGAGATGCAGAGTTCTAATCTGGCTGATTTTGCAAGTTTTGGGTAGGATTGTTTGTTCATCTTCTACCTGTCAGGAACATTCATTTAGTTTTCCATGACAGTAGTTTCATTGTAGCGAGAGGCCTCGTCTTTTTACCAGGTGAAGTTTTTTTTCCCTCTCCGCTGTTGCCACTGCCTCGCAGGGTTCAGGATTGGTAGAGCTACGCATCGATGAATTGGCTCTTCAGTGTTTGAACTCTCAGTAATGATTAAATCACACTGAACTGAGCTAAACTGAACTGAACTGAACTTAAACACTAAAACCTGAACCACACTGTTCCAGTTACTGAACCACACTGTTCCAGTTACTATGACCATTTAACCTGAACCACACTGTTCCAGTTACTATGACCATTTATGTGAAGCTGCTTTGACACAATCTACATTGTAAAAGCGCTATACAAATAAAGCTGAATTGAATTGAACTGTCAGCTTGCGGTTTAAGGCTCTACCGTAATACGCAGTGTATGAGCGACCATGAAATACCTGCGGCTGGAATAACCGCTCCTTCTGAGCTAGTGACTGACTTGACCGCCGTCAAAATTCGCTTTTTTTACTACATCGTCATCATTTGTTTCACCTTTGCAGGGATGGATTTTAATGCAGGGATTTGGATTTTTTCGGGGTCTCGTCGGGTTCGGGCAAAGATCTTCAGCTCTAATGTAGACCTTTTGTTCATATTAACCACGTCTCCCTTCTGTTCAGTCGAAACCGTAAATACTGCCAAACTGCAGGACACTTTGAAGCGCGACTCGTCACGTCACTTCACCTCTCCCTCTCCCCCTCTCTCCCACTCCCTCTCTCCTCCACATTGTCCCATGATGACAACCACACATACGTTTTTGTAGGCATTAAATAAAGGATATTTAATATTTTTGACGGTATAACGGTATTGAAACTGACACCGTTGCTATTTTTAGATCCCGCAGTATACCATAATACTGTAATACCGCCCAAGCCTAATTCACACAGAACCGTCTAATATGGCATAACTATAGGAGTAATGTTGGTGCTGTTTAAACGCAGCTATGTCAGGATTGGGATAGGTTATACATTTTCATCATTTAAATTATTATTATGATTGTTAATATTATTATTGTATGACATTTATTTGGGCTATTGCGCTTAAATAAGTCATCCGTGATTCTAAATTAATATTTCTATTTATCATTTTTATCACTCTGTGTTTCTCTTCTTTTTTCTAATTTTTGGGGTTCTGCCACGGTTAAACGTTTGCAAAATGTCTTAGTTTGTCCAGATTATTGCTTTATTGTTATGTAGCCTATAGGCGAGAAAAAGGTATTAACGCAAAAGTGGCAATGTCGCAGCCAATTAT